AGTATTTTTTAACCTATTCAAAACCATGAAAAAATCTTTCCTATAAAAATATGAAATAAGATGTAAAAGCAAGACTTCTGTAAGTCCCATAACATTTACCTATAAAATGTCATACACATACTGAAAAGGTTATACAACCACACTGTATATACAGGCAAGAAATTAGTATAGATCTAGGCCAGTGAAATATTAGAAAAAGGCATGAAAAATGTAAACCCCTGTAGAACACTAGTCGTATTTTCAATGTGCCATGCAGGAGATTAGGTAGAATGCCAGTTGGAATAAGAATTGCACAATTCCTGTTCCATCACACTCTTCTTTCCCACACATGGTGGTTTCTAGGCTCTTACTGGCTGCTGCCATTGGAGGAAGGGTTTTTGTTGTGACTAAATACTGTGAATGATAGGCATATTAAGAGATGTGGTGCCAACATAATTTTGAGTTGGTATTTTGTGGGTTTCATTGACCTTTCTTGTAGTTTGTCTTTTAATTAAATCTTCCACCTTCCTCTGTCCCCTTTTTTTTTTATTTAAACTTCTCTCCCTCTAATCTCAAAACCTGTGTGATTTACCAGTCCCCCCCCACCCTTACAAAACCCACATCTTCCTCTGCCAGATCTGACTTTCTCTCTGATTGGTCTGTCTTCCAACTTCATCTTCATTGAGGACTTCATTGTGCATGTTGATGTCCCTCTTGAATCTTATGACTCCCTTAGATTTACTTACAATTTGTTAAGTATCAGAGGGGTAGCCGTGTTAGTCTGGATCTGTAAAAAGCAACAGAGAGTCCTGTGGCACCTTTAAGACTAACAGATGTTAGTTGGAGCATAAGCTTTTGTGGGTGAATACCCACTGCGTCAGACGCATGTAATGGAAATTTCCAGAGGCAGGTATAAATATGCAGGCAAGAATCAGTCTGGAGATAACGAAGTTAGTTCAGTCAGGGAGGGTGAGGTCCTCTGCTAGCATTGAGGTGTGAACACCAAGGGAGGAAAAACTGCTTTTGTAGTTGGCTAGCCATTCACAGTCTTTGTTTAATCCTGAGCTGATGGTGTCAAATTTGCAAATGAACTGAAGCTCAGCAGTTTCTCTTTGTAGTCTGGTCCTGAAGTTTTTTTGCTGTAAGATGGCTACCTTTACATCTGCTATTGTGTGGCCAGGGAGGTTGAAGTGTTCTCCTACAGGTTTTTGTATATTGCCATTCCTGATATCTGACTTGTGTCCATTTATCCTTTTACGTAGTGACTGTCCAGTTTGGCCAATGTACATAGCAGAGGGGCATTGCTGGCACATGATGGCATATATAACATTGGTGGACATGCAGGTGAATGAACCGGTGATGTTGTAGCTGATCTGGTTAGGTCCTGTGATGGTGTTGCTGGTGTAGATATGTGGGCAGAGTTGTCATCAAGGTTTGTTGCATGGATTGGTTCCTGAGTTAGAGTTGTTATGGTGCAGTGTGTGGTTGCTGGTGAGAATATGCTTAAGGTTGGCGGGTTGTCTGTGGGCGAGGACTGGCCTGCCTCCCAAGGTCTGTGAAAGTGAGGGATCATTGTCCAGGATGGGTTGTAGATCACTGATGATGCGTTGGAGAGGTTTAAGCTGAGGACTGTAGGTGATGGCCAGTGGAATTCTGTTGGTTTCTTTCTTGGGCTTGTCTTGTAGCAGGAGGCTTCTGGGTACACATCTGGCTCTGTTGATTTGGTTCCTTATTTCCTTGTGCAGATATCATAGTTTTGAGAATGCTTGATGAAGATCTTGTAGGTGTTGGTCTCTGTCTGAGGGGTTGGAGCAGATGCGGTTGTACCTCAGCGCTTGGCTGTAGACGATGGATCGTGTGGTGTGTCTGGGGTGGAAGCTGGAGGCATGAAGGTAGGCATAGCGATCGGTGGGTTTTCGGTATAGGGTGGTGTTAACGTGACCATCACTTATTTGTACTGTGGTGTCTAGGAAGTTGACCTCCCGTGTAGATTGGTCCAGGCTGAGGTTGATGGTGGGGTGGAAGCAAATTCTTTGGCCTAATGTTATGTAAGACTAGATGACGATAGTTGTTTTCCCTTCTGGTCTTAAAATCTATGGATTTTATGAAGAAGTTGTTTGTAAAATCAATCTATTTATATCATAGTGTTTACAAAATAAGATTACAAATTCACTGTCTCTTTAAAATATTTAGTGATATAGGAAAAATACTGGATTGACTGCCCTAGCGACTTAAGTTCTTTGTCCACACAACAGATATATAGGGTAGGTAGAGGCAATGCAAGCTTCTCTACGCTGCTTCTGCAGCTTCTCAATTCTGTCCTGAAGGGACTGGTGCTAGGAGTGAGACGATTGCTCAACCTGCAGGCCTTGTTCCATCTTTGAACTCACTTCTGAGAATCAGCGGTTCCAATGTTAGTACCAGTTGTGGAGATAGAACTCGACTGTGATTACTAATACTTTCCATATAGATATCTGCCCCCAACCTCATGTGGTATAAACTTTCATTATTATCTTGGGCAGGATTCCAGCTGGTGACTCTGTAAGTGCTTTAAAGACTCAGTATCTCATTTCCTTTGGCCACCCAGGTATGTCTGTGCTGCAGTTGGGAGCATGCCTCTGAGCCCAGATAAACAGACACATACTAGCTCACTAAAAATAGCAGCATCAACATTGTGACACAGGTGGCAGCTCAGGCTAGTTGCCAAAGTACAAATCCATCCAACACTCTGGGTCCATACTCTGGTGGCTAGCTTGTGCTACCATCCATGCTACTACGTTGACACTGCTATTTTTAACGTGTTAGCTCAAGCAGAGTTGACGTGTCTGTCTGCCCAGGCTGCGGGAGACACTTTCAACAGCCGTCTAGATGTACCCCTTGTCACTCACTGTCTACCTCTGCTCTGCAGGTCAGCATGAGGTGGAAATGTTATAGTATTGCCAACTCTCATGATTTTGCTGCAAGTCTCAGTGTTGTTTTTCTTAAAGCCCCAGCTGCTGGAATCAGGAGATTGCATGAGAATCTCCGCTTTAATTAAAAATATAAGTTTCTAGCCCTTATGATTGCAGAGAAAAGTTTGAAAATGTTGCTGGAATATACTCTAAAGGCTTAGCATCTAGAAGGCAAATAAAAAAAACCTAATATATATTTAAAATCTCATGGTTTTTGGAGACCCTCATGACCTGTGAACCTTTTGGCCTGGCAATACTTATGTGTAGGCATCCAGAACTTTCTGCAAGCTTTCACGTGCATGCTATTTTCTACTTACCAGAGTTATGTGGTTTTATTTTCAAAAACCTTTTCCACTGTGTTTAGCTTTTTTCTTACTTTTGTTTAAATTTGCATATGTTCAGTTACCAGTTATGAAATAGTCAAAAGTTTTTTTTCCTCCTTTCTCTAAATTCCCTCTTCAATGTTCCTTCAACTTCCTTTTTATTATACTCTTTTTAGACATTGTGAAATGTGGCTCTGTTCTGTTTAACCTCAGTGTATTCTCTGCAGTAGGAGGTATCCTGCATGTGCAGCTTGTAGAGCTGTACAATTTTCCTCATTAGAGCTGTCAGAACTTGTGGAAGGGTTGGCACGCCCGCCTGCTCTGAACAGTTTAAAAACATAGGCTTCATATTACAGTCTCTGTAATCTAGATTTCAACAGGTCTCTTTGTAACTGTTAATGTTTATACTTGTCAAACGGAACAAAACTTTCTAAATATGAGATGAGGGTTTAACTACCTTACAAAAAAAGTAGGTCAATGGGCCAGCAGGTTATTAGGCTAGAGAAGAATGAACGGGTTCACTGAGTCATGCTGTGTAGTTGTTTTTCTTCTTTTGGCAGAACGCTCTGCTCTGCTTTAATTTCATGGTTTTTTTACCAGTGTTTTTTTAACCAGTTAAACACTTCCAGTAGAAACTGGGAGAGGAGCAATTACCTTTTTAATTAAACTAAAACATACTACTTGTACTTTTTACGTCCGTGAGAATAATAGCTCTTCAACCTTTAGCAAAAAATACAAATTCAGTACTTCTCGCTTTAGCGAGAACGAATTTTTTTCTTATAACCCAAAATACATTATAACATTAAATATAAGGCACCGGAGTGAAAATTATAGAAAACAGTGGTATACCATTCATCGTATAGTGAAGAAATCAAAACATTCTGTCAGTGTGGCCAATAGTTGATGCAGGGAGAAATGAGGTATGGCAAGGGAGGAGAGACGTGTGTTTAGATAACTTTGAAAAGAGATGCAAAGTGGCATGAAGAGCTGTTTTAGACAACTGTAGAAGAGAATTCATTAAAACCAAAAATGATTGTATGAAGAGACTGAAAGGTGGCGATTGCTAGGTTAGTGAAGGGGAGCATGAAAGGGAGTAGAGACTTAGATCTAGGAGGTAGGTTTGGAATAAGTACTTAAAAAGAAAATATTGGACTTTATTTTGAAAAGAAAAGGAGGATCCAGTGGCTGTGTTTGAGGTAGTAGGAGTGATGTAGCTGGGTTTCTCTGTGAGTGAGTGAGCAGCATTCTGAACATTCTGGAGTACAGAGAGCAGTGATTTGATGAAACCAGAGAGGAACTGAGGTAATCAGTAGGAAAAGGGATGTAGACGTGAATAAAAAACAGTAGAGAAGGAGTTGAGGGAGTGGCATAGAGAAATGCTGTTTCAGGATTAACAATAGGGAGATTTAGAGACTCAGGCGATGTGGGAGATGGAGAGTTTGAGTCAAGGATGACACTATGATTACAGATAGAGGTAAATAGGAGTTCTTAGTCAAGCCAGACAAAGTTTTAGAGTATTCCTCTTGCTGAAGAGAAGCACTTCTGTTTTTGATACATTGAGTTAACTGTATTGAGATATTTTTGTAATTCATCAGGCAGAACATTACATTTATAAATGATATATCACAATAGTACTTTACTATAATCAGAATAAATGATGGCTATAAATATTTTATTTGAATACTAGTGACATACAGAATTCCAGTCATTTCCAGTTCTCTAACTTTTCTTTTTTGATCCTTTACAGTGCAGAGTTTGATGCTCTTCTGTAGAAGAGGATATATTTAAACCCACATTCGTCTGAAGGATCAGTGTTTATCCTAAATATCACGGTTTAACATCCCAAAAAGTATAAGAGGTAAAGAAAGTCTTGCTGTAATTATGAGCTACAGTGTTGTAATTTGATTCCTGTGGTTTCTTATTAACTACATTAGGGATCTGTTCCTGTTGTCAAGGAAGTTAATGGACTTGGTTCCAAAAAGGTATAGAGCCCTCAGTCCCCATAAGGCTTTGATCTAAGGCCTATTAACGTCAATGGGAGTCTCTTCATTGATTTCAGTGGGCTTTGGTTCAGGCCCATACAATTCAATGAGAGTTGAGGATGCTCAGCACCTTGCAAAATTGGACTCAAAGGGAGCAGGAGCAGGCCTGAAAGAGAGAAGCAAATGTCTATTGTTTTTTCTTTGGCTTTTGGGTATTTGGAATTTAGGTACCATACTTATGCTGCTAATTTTGACATAAAATCTGGGTACACTCAGTAAGGTGAAATTGGTATTCTAACAATATTGAATGTACTTTGTTGTTATGGAAATAGTGATTCTGACTTCTGATTCTGCCTATTGAAAAGGTCAGTCTTGTTCCATGTGAAGTCCTTTTGTGCTTTGCTATTCACACATTTATTTCTTTTGAAAATTAATGGAATGTTGTGATTTGATATTCTAAGAATTCATAGAATCTTTGATGCATATAGTAAATGTTGAATACCAGATTTGTTTTGAAGACTGATTATGCAATTATGTTACTAGCACATGCAGTAGATGGGGGGGAGGGATAGCTCAGTGGCTTGAGCATTGGCCTGCTAAACCCAGGGTTGTGAGTTCAATCCTTGAGGGGGCCACTTAGGGATCTGGGGCAAAAATCTGTCTGGGGATTGGTCCTTCTTTGAGCAGGGGGTTGGACTAGATGACCTCTTGAAGTCCCTTCCAACCCTGACATTCTATGATTCTAAAGGAAAATATATTTACAATTTTCAAGCTATTGTCAATTGAAAGCCTAAGGATATTAGTTCTGTCTCTTTGAACACTATATTTATCTCATGTTATTAAGCACTGGAAGTAGCTTGCATCAGCAGTGAATGACATGTAGTGAGACAGAATAATATCAACCAGTTTATAATATAAACTGAGGTACACATAACCATAAAAAATTCAGATCTCCCACATTCTCCACAGATTAATGTCTTTTTTTAGTGCATTTCTGAACAGTTCATAGAATCATAGAATATCAGGGTTGGCAGGGACCTCAGGAGGTCATCTAGTCCAACCCGCTGCTCAAAGCAGGACAAATTCCCAACTAAATCATCCCAGCCAGGGCTTTGTCAAGCCGGGCCTTAAAAACCTCCAAGGAAGGAGACTCCACCACCTCCCTAGGTAACGCATTCCAGTGCTTCACCACCCTCCTAGTGAAATAGTGTTTCCTAATATCCAACCTAGACCTCCCCCACTGCAACTTGAGACCATTGCTCCTTGTTCTGTCATCTGCCACCATTGAGAACAGCCGAGTTCCATCCTCTTTGGAACCCCCCTTCAGGTAGTTGAAGGCTGCTATCAAATCCCCCCTCATTCTTCACTTCTGGAGACTAAACAATCCCAGTTCCCTCAGCCTCTCCTCATAAGTCATGCGCTCCAGACCCCTAATCATTTTTGTTGCCCGCCGCTGGACTCTTTCCAGTTTTTCCACATCCTTCTTGTAGTGTGGGGCCCAAAACTGGACACAGTACTCCAGATGAGGCCTCACCAATGTCGAATAAAGGGGAACGATCACGTCCCTCGATCTGCTGGCAGTTGAATAAAGGACCATGCCAGCTTCCGGTCTTATGCACTGAAAATGCTTTGGAGAATCTGTGAATTTCATAATGTCCTTAGTACACTATAGATGGAGGCACCTCAGTGCTAATGATTGTTCTGTAACATCAAAGGCGAGTTTTCATCTGTGTGAACATATTGTCAGTTTCAGCGAATGAAAAAATTGCCACCTCTGGTTCAGCACCATTGTGACACGCATATGTGTTGGGGCACTAATGTAAGTCTGCTGTGTTAGCAGAGGGGCTTCTAAAGTTATACACGCTTTCGTTAGACTCTCTGGAGGCAGTTTGCCTTGAAGCAGTTACTACTTTGCCTATATTACAATTGATACCCTGGATCAGGGCAAATTATCAGTTTTACTATCACTGCTACTACAAAGTTAGTTTTATTATGTCGTTGTCAAAGGAAATTAACAGTTGTTACATGGTAATAGGTTCTAAATATAAAGATTTTTCTTTCATGTGGAAGTGGAGGGAGAATTTGAAGAATACTGTCACAGGGCAGGGCTTCTCCTCAGCTTCCAAGCACATACTACCATGCCCAGTCTTCTTTAAGGCTGGTTATTTTCTTAGAACAGGCAACTGAACAAACAGAAAAGTCTTATAACTCACTCCTTTGTCTTAAGACTTCAGGGCCACCCCTCCCAGGGATCTCTGGCACTCCTGCTTCTGGTTGCTTTCCAGTTTTAATCCCTTCCTAGAGGAGCAGCCCCAGGGCTGTTTCCCTGAGGACCTGGATCTTTGCTACTGTGGCTTTTCTTCCCCAGGCACAACCTGTCTCTCCTCCACCTCTCATTTCCTGCCCTTTCTAGGCCCAGGCATAGCCTAGCCCCCTTTAATTGGCTGGATTGGGCTCCTGTACTCTGACCCAGAGGAGCTAGGACTGGCTCTACTCACAGGGAACAGGTACGCTGTGAAAACATTTTCTGCCAGTTCAGTTCTGAGAGATTAAAACTACTTTTTCAAACAAACACTGCTCCCCCCCCCCCCCCCCCCAGCCCCTGTTTTTCCTTTTCACAGATCTAGTCAAGTGCCCCTTGTTTAGGCACTCACCAGACTTCTGTGAAGGTATCAACATCTGAATCCTGTGTCCTCTAAGCCTCTTGAGTCTGAACAAAGTCAGTCCAGGCACTGTCTCTGTCTTGGCTACTGTAGGCACATTCTCAGTGTCCAAATCCCCTGTCTAGCACCCCCTTCTGACAGCTGATGAGGAGTTCACTGGACCATTAATGTTGTTTTTCCGTAAGTCTTGTAAGTTCCAGAAGACTGGCAGAATGCTAATATTGTGCCCATTTTTAAAAAGTATAATGGGATGACCTGGGTAATTATAGGCCTATGAACCTGACATTGATCCCAGGCAAGATAATGGAGTGGCTGATATGGGACTTGATAAGTAAAGAACTAAAGTAGAATAATGTAACTAATGCAAATCAGCATAGGTTTATGGAAAATAGATCGTGCCAAACTAACTTGATATCTTTTTTTATGAGATTATAAATTTGGTTGACAAAGGTGATAATGTTAACATAAGATACTTAGACTTCTGTAGGGCATGTGACATGGGACCGTATGACATTTTGATTACATTTTATACCATCCTAGTTTTTTTTTTTTAACATGACACACACTATATGGATTAAAAACTGACTAAGTGATAGGTCACAAAATGTAACTGTAAAGGGGGATTATCATTGAGCGAGTCTGTTTCCAGAGGGGCCCCACAGGGATTGGTTCTTGGCTCTAAGCTATTAAACAATTTATCAATGGCCTGGAAAAAACATAAAATCATCACTGATAAACTATGCAGCTTACACAAAAATAGGGGGAATGGTAAATAATGAATAAGATAGGTCACTGATTCAAAGCAATCTAGATCGTTTAGTAAACGGTGCAAGTAAACAATATGCAATTTAATATGGCTAAATGTAAATGTATATATCTTGGACCAAAGAATGTAAGCCATACTTACAGGATGGGTGATTCTCCTGCGAAAGCAGCGACTCTGAAAAAGGTTTGGTAGTCGTGGTGGATAATCAGCTGAACATGAACTTCCAGTGTGATGCTGTGGCCAAAAGAGTTAGTGATCCTGGGATGCATAAACAAGGCAATCTCGAGTAAGAGTAGAGAGGTTATTTTACCTCTGTATTTGGCACTGGTGCAACTGCTGTGGAATACGGCATCCAGTTCTGGTGCCCACAATTCAAGTAGGATGTGGATAAATTGGAGAGGGTTGAGAGAAGAGCCATGAGAATGAGGCTGTCTACACTAGAAATCTTACAGCAGCTCAGCTATAATGATGGAGCTGAGCCGCTGTAAGATCTCTGATGTAGCCACTTTATGCCAATGGGAGAGAGCTCACCTGTCGATATAATTAAATCATCCCCAACGAGTGGCGGTAGCTATGTCGGTGGGAGAAGCTCTCCCGCTGACATAGCATGGCTCACACTACTGCTTACACCGGTGTAACATATGGTGCTCAGGGGTGTGGTTTTTTCACACCCCTGAGCAACATAAGTTTTGCCCTCATAAGTGATAGTGTAGACATGGCCTGATTAAAAGATTAGAAAACATACTTTATAGCAGGGGTGGCCAAACCGCGGCTCGTGAGCTGCCTGCGGCTGTTTTACAGTTAAAGTGCAGCTCGTGGAGCCCCCCATACGCCCCATTCTCCGCCTACAAGACTGCAGGGGGGAGGGGAACTTGGGGCTTCTGCCCTGCGGCGGAGTGGTGATTACAACGGTCCTTTCTGATCTGAGAATCTATGAATCATTAAGGCTATGATTTTAGCATGGAGGCCACAGTGTTCACGATAAATTGTGAATTTTATTTAAGTCTGTGACACCTATTAGTGCTGGTTCTTGTGGGTCAGGATCCCTGCTCTGGCCACATGTTTGCACCACCACTCAGGTTTAGTGCACCTGTTCCTCTATAGATGGAGATGAAGGGGCAAATGGGCCAAATTCGATTGGCATAGTGAGCTGGCCCATGTGGTCAGAGTGCCACTCAGGTTTGGCATGTCCACTCATCTACTGCATTATAGAAGGACAGACTGGTCAAATTTGATTGGCATTCCGACCTGGCCCATATGGTTGCAGCACCACTCAGGTTTGGTGTGTCCACCTCTCCGTAGCATGATAGAGGAGCAGACAGGCCAAATTTGACTGGTGTGGCCAGCTAAGAGCACGGGGTTGCAACGCCACTTAAGTTTTGGTGCATCTACCCCTCTGTGGCATGATGAAAGGGCAGATGAGCCAAATTTGTTTGGTGTTGCAACCTAGTATACAAGGTCGCAATGCCACTCAGTTTTGGCACGTCTGTCCCTCTGTAGATTGAGACAGAGGGGAGGATGCATCAAACCTGAGTGGCCCTGTTACTTAGCACATGGGATCACAATGCTCGGTGTGGGGAGCCACGCCCAGCCTTGCAGGACAGGAGCCGCCAGTGAAGGGTGGGCGTGGTTTCCAGTTTCCCCAACACCCATGCCGCCCCTCCTTGCCGGGGCAGACTCACTTTCCAGCCCCCCGGCACCTCGCTTCCTCATTGAGGCAGGCTTGCTCTCCACCCCCTTCTGTGGGCCATGAGCTTTCTGTGGCTATGTTTTTCCCCACACACACCTCTGGCATAAAATGGACTAAAAATTTTTGTGACAAAATTGTAGCCTTAATCATCTACACCCAAAGTCTTTAGTCCCATTTCCCCATAAGTTCTCTTACTTCTCAGGCAAGTCCAAGGTTTCCAGTGGGGGCAGGCACCAGTTGGTGCCCAACTCTCCCCAAATTCAGCACCATTTTTCCCAAGGTGATTGTGTCTCTGTTCTGTTCTTTTGAGGTTTTTATGCTATGCTGATCACTGTAGTATCTGCGCACCTTCCAGTAGTGCATTAAGCAATGTAACTATGCATCTCTCACATTTGTTTTTTCTCTCATTCTCATCTCAGAGGGAGAAGCGTGTGTAATGGAGTATATTATTTTGGTAGGGTTTTTTTAATTTGTTAAATAAATATATCTGTTGCTGTGTGTTTATATTAGAGAAAGCAAGGTCAAAGAAATTGGCATTGCATGTGGAGAGGAAAGTGGTGAGGTTTGTCCAGGTTAGTTCCTGGAGGAGTTCATTCCACAGTCTTGAACCACCCCCAGAGAAGGTTCTTTCTCATGCACAGATGAAGTGTACTCTTATTGTGGAGAGTTGCCTTGTCCCAGAGAAGTGAAGTTATCAACCATGGTCTTCGCCCTGGAGCTTTAGAGACTGTCTTTTAGATATCCTGGGCTCAAGCATGGAGTGCTTTGAAGTTAAGGACTGAGACCTTGAACTTGATCTGAAATTAGGACACCAGTGTAGAGGGTGAAGGACAGGTGTGATGTGCTCATGTAACCTGTCTTGCTGAGAGGAGACACTGCAGCCTTTTGTACCTTTGGAGTTTCCTAAGTGTTGAAGATTTCATGCCCAGTTATATTGCATTGCTGTAGTCCAGCTGATCGTGATGAAGGCATAAATAACTAAGGCCAGGTCTTCATCCACCAGGATGGGACGGAGTCTCCTAGCAAACCAGAGATGGCAGAAAGTATTATGCATGTCTGTTGCGATGTGAGAGCTCAGTGTCAGCGAGGAATCCGAGAGTAATCCTAGAATACGGACTGAATTGACCAATTGTAGATGGGAACCTTCAGCCAAAGGGGAGACTGCACCGTAGCGGCAAACTCTTCAAAGTACTTTGCTTTACCCACCAGCATCATCTCTGTTTTGCTCAGCCAGCTGTTTTTCATCCATGAGCTGATCTCATCCAAGCATTGGGCCACCTTGTTGTGGTCGCATGTGGTGAAGGATAGGTAGAGATATGTGTCAGTTGTGTATTGATGGTATCTGAGTCCATGTTGTCTGACCAGTTCTCCTAATGGTTGCATGTAAATATTGAAAAGGACTGTATAGAGAATTGATCCTTGTGGAACCCCACAAGTGAAGGGTCCAGTGGTGGAGGTGGTTTCCAATTACTACTCTTTGGGTGCATCCTTCCAGGAAGGACTCAGACCATTTTAGCACGTTACCCTGGACTCCTACTACACTTCTCAGGCAAGACAGCAGTATCTCATAGTCAACACTGTCAAACACAGTAGAAAGGTCTGGGAGGATGAGAATGAATGCCTTTTGATAGGATGAGATCATTCATCAGTGCCACTAAAACAGTTTCAGTTTCTCTCCTGCCCCTTTCGGGAACTGTTTTCTCCTTGGCAGTCCTTCAGCATCCCTTTCCTCTTGGGTGTGTTCTCCCCTCCTCCTTTTTCTGGAATGAACAGGATTTGGCTTATATGGCCTCCAGACCACTCCCATTCCCAGCAGCTTCTGAAAGGACTGGAGTCAATTGCTTGGGGTTATTTTTTTCTTCTCCCCTTATGACAGTTCCCTTTGTCATATGCCCTCAAATTTATTCAGGTTCTTTGAAATATGGGCCAATATAAAGAATAAAAAGCTGTTGCTGAATACAGAGGTAAATGAAAGTTTTTAAACTGGCTTAACCCAAGTTGATTCATCATGGCATATAGAAAAGTGATGGCCTCTTAACCTCTGTATCTGGTGAAATAAGATGGTTAGGTTCAGCTATATGGGATACATAACTGACATAAAGAGAAAAGGTGGAGGGAAAATAAAGGTTAGAAGCACTACTCCTTTTGGGGCAAGCGGGAGCTTCATACATTCTATGAGGGGAAAACCAACATGTTCTACAAAAGTTATATTTCCATTTGTTTCTGTTCTCACCCAGGCAGACGTACAAATGTCTACCACAAGACTAAAGTGTGACATGTTATGTTCTTTACCATAAGGACCCATAAAATGAGCTCCATTACAGACAGGTATGTTGTTAGATGATTTTGTTTTAAATGATTTATAGGTAAACATTTTGATGATGTATTCTTATTTAAGATTAAGAGTAGAAGGACTCTAAGTCAGACTTAAGTGTAATGAGGTTATGATTTCTGGCAAAGTTAATGTCTGTTAACTACACTTTAGTTATGAAAACATAGCTATGTAGCCATCATGTTGTAGTACATGTTTTTGTTTAAAATTATATTATTTAAATATGTTTTATATTTGGAACAGCAGCTGCCTAATTGGAATTGTGTTTTGAAATTTGTTGTGTTCTTTGGGTTTTTCTCTTGAAACAACTGATCTGGGGACTTGTTTCAGAATTACTTGAATCCAGGAGCTGGGCTCAAAGTGCTTTCCTTACTATCTGTGGTCCCCTTTTTGTTATAAAATGCTTTACATTAAAGTTTTGAAGTTTTTAGAACATGAAAAAAGTTTGCCTATTGTATAGAACACAATTGGCTTTTTTATAATCAGTTCATCTCTCCAGAAACTAGGGGTAGAATTTTCAAAAGTGCCAAAATGACAGCTTCCCAAGTCTCAAAAGTGACTTGGGCACTTAGGAAACTAGGTTTCATTGACTTTCAGTGAAACTTGGGCTTTTAAATGTCACTTTTGAAAATGGGACTTAGGCACTTTTGAAAATTCTACCACAGGATTCTCCTGCACTGCCTTATTAAGGAAAAGGAAAGAATAATCAAACACTTTTCATAACATTACACCCTTCCTCCTCTTTTTGTCAACTGTGGGTACTATATTTATAGTAGTAACAGACAATACAGGTCTAGTGCTTGCATATGTCCATTACACTGTAGGTGTGTCTGCATCCTATGCACCAGTGCTAGATAGTTTTCCTTAGTGGTACCTTTAGGGGCATCCCAGCTCCTCGTGCTTTGAATGGAGAGTATATAAAGGGTGGAGCTGCCCCACTCCTCCTTCAGTTCCTTCTTACCATTGGTGGTCAGAGTTCTGTGTTCCTCATGAACAAATTTCTTGCTGCTTTTTTTCTTACCTAGTGGTACTTTTTCATCACTCTATTTTTTTCTTTTCTTTTCTAATTTTAAAATTTCTGATTTTAGTTGGGAAAAAAAAAATATTTTTTTTTTTCAGTCAGGCGGGCCTCAAGGTCTTGCCCTTAACTGGGGCAAGCTTGTGCCAAGATCCCTTGGTTTCAAGTCCTGTTTGGGTTGCCAAAATCCCATGTCTGTCAGGGAACCTTATTCGTGCTGCTTCAAGTGCTTGGGTGAGTGCCACAAAAGAGAGACAGGTTTCCATTTGCAGTAGTTTAAAGGCCCGAGCAAAGAAGCTGAGAGAAGAACACCTTCGTTATATCCTTATGGAGGCTGTCCTTAGGCCAGTGTCTGAACCCCTTTGGTTGTTCAAGGGAAGCTTTTTGACGACTCCTCCTTGGAGTGCTCCTTTAGCTTTACCTGGGAATAGGAGCCACAGGAGATTTCTGTCACTGGGACTCTTGTCTTTGAGGCCGAAGACATTGGAGCAATTGTGGTGAAAGAAGCATAAGAAATAGACACTGGACTCCTTGGAATCCACGATACAGGATTGCTCCACAGAAGGTCACTCCAGTACCAAAGGTAGAGTGAATCTCTGATCATGGTGGGGCGACAGCCCATATTAGTGCAGACAACGCCAGAGGCCTGTGTGGTGGCGAGAGATGTGCTATGCCTATCAGTACCACTGTCGCCATTGGTTCAGGGCAGAGATCCTCGGTCAGTACCAGTGCAGGTTCTGAGGCTGTCAGCTCTGGGGCACTCTGTTGTGGGTCCATCACTTAAGGGCCCAGTACCACTGTCTTTGGCCTCATCCATTCCTCCAGTGTCACATTCCTGGCATAGATCCAGAGGATCAGACCCAGTACAGCACAACCATGGCTCTTGGAATACTCTGATTCTTCATCAGACTTTGAGGTGGGCTTTTGAGTCTCATACTACTGAAAGTCCAGAGTGGTGTCCTGGTCCTTTTCTCTTACTCATTAACTGTTTTGAGAAGAGTAGAGCCAGGAATCGAGATGGTTGGACCAGGCACAGCTGGGACCCATTACTGTACCAGCCTCCTAGTTGACTTTATTGGATGCTCCCCAGTATCTAGATCAACATTGCAACTACCTCGCAGAAGCAGATCCCTTAGGGAATAATCTTTTTCTGATGATACTAAGAGGCCTGTGATGGTTGGTACCCATCAGGATTTACCTCAGCCTGCTTCAGACCAGTAGCCTAATCCAGTACTGTAAGACCATCCTCGGGAGCATATTCCCTTGCCTCCCCTTCATGCATCATCTTCATCACCTGATGAAGCCCTGATACTGGAGTGTCCTCCCTGGTCCCAGATTACCTTTAAGGTGTACCTTAAAGGAGAATGCCAACTCTTTACAAGTGGATCTCGTGGGGGAGAATACCCACCAACTGATTGACCCTGTGCATCTGGCTATGACAGGAAAGGTAGCCCTGCCTACAAATGATGCCATTATGCAGGCTATTTAAGATACTGTGGAAAACCCCTTCCTCCATTTCACCTGTGGCCAAATTAATGGAATGTAAATACCAGGTTTCATCCCAGAGATTTGAGCAATTTTGTGGTGGGTTGTCTGGTCTCTCAATCAGCTCTGCAGGGTTCCTTGGATGTGGTGGGTTCTGCTGGCAGGGCTATAGCAATGACTATGCGCCCTTGTACCTGGCTGCAGACCTCGGGGGTTCCTGCAGACATACAACAGACAAATGAGGCCCTTCTCTTTCAGGGCTGTCCTTTGTTCTCATCCACAACAGATGAGGCTTTACACACTCTAAGAACTGTAGAGCAGTTTTAAAGCCCTTGGGCCTCTACACTCCAGCTATGAAGAGGACAAAATATCATCCTCAATTCCAGCCTAGACAGCAATATTCCTTCCATCATGCTGACCATTCCAAAAGAAAGCAAAGGTTTCAGAGAGGGAGACCTCTGCCTCTTACTTCCTCGGTCTCCTCATCCAGACATCCACAGGCCACGAAACAGTCCAAGTGGTCACTGAGAGCACGATAGCGGTGTTTTATGTGGACAAACAAGGGGGTGCCAAGTCAGACCGCTTCTGCCAGGAGGTGGTTGAGCTTTGGAATTTATACATATGGAGCTGAGTCGCTCTCAGGATTTCTCACTTGCCAGGTATTCAAAATGGCTAGGTGGATCACCTGAGCAAATCTTTCAATTTAGACCACAAATGGTCTCGCAACACAGCCATTCTAGCTTTGGTGTTTGGCATAGGAGGTTTTCTGATGGTAGATCTGTTTGCGACTCGGCAAAACAGGAAGTGTCCCCAGTTTTGTCCCAGAGCAGGTCACAGAGCTGGGTCAATCTCAAATGTTTTCCTGGTTTCCATAGGATAAGGACCTGATGTGTGTATATACCAGAGCCCCTGATTCCCAGGTTCATTCTCAAGCTGAAACAAGTCAAGGCAGAATGATCATTATAGCTCCAGCCTGGCCAAGGCAGCCATGGTATTGTGAGTTATGCAAGCTGTGTACTCGAGGACCCTTGTTGTTGCCACTAACCAGAACTATGGGCAGGTGTTGCACCCAAATTCTTGGGTGTTGCACCTCACAACATGGTTCATCAGTGGTCAAATGCAGAGGAGTACACTGCTCAGTGGCAGTCCAGAATGTCCTCCTTAATAGCAGAAAACCTTGTACAATAACACCTTACCTGGGTCAGTGGAAGTGCTTCTCCATCTGGGCAACCTCCTATAATGTGTTCATGACTCAGTCTAACATTCAGACAATTCTGTACTAGTTCTTGCATCTTAAGCAGTCGGGTCTAGCTGTCAGCTCCATTAGGGTGCATCTCGTCACTGTCTCACTGTTTCACTCTCAAATTAATGGTAGAGCTGCTTTTATTAATCCTATCATGACCAGGTTCCTGAAAGGTCTAGATTGAGTGTTCCCACCTATCTGGGACCAGCGCCAATTTGGGATTTGAATTTAGTGTTATCTACTCTTTTATGGATCCTCCTTTTGAGTCTTTAGCTCCCTGCCTGCTTCTACATCTCAGCTAAGGTAGCCTTCTTATGACCATCACCTTGACTGAGATCGTGCAAGAGGTAAATGCACTTGTAAGATAGATCAGTGACTCCATTTTCTATGAAGACAAGGTTCACCTTAGACTGCACCCTAACTTCCTCTCAAAGGTAGTATCAGATTTCACCTGAATCAGACTATACTTAGCAGTTTTCTTTCCAAAGCCACGTGCTCACAAGGATGAACAAAGACTGCTTGCTCTGGATGTGCATCAAGCTTTGGCTTTTTACCTGAATATGACAAAGCTCTCTTGGGTTTTTTCCCACCTGTTTGTTCTGTGGAGCATATGAAAACTTAACCAATTATAACGACTTTCAAAGTGGATCACTAGCAGCATCACTCTGTTTTGCTGCCAAATGTGTAAAGCCTCTGAGGAGGTGGCAGCACGCTCAACCAGAGCACGTTCAGCCTTTGTAGCTTTTGTGGCATATGTCCCTGTTATGACTATCTGAAGATCAGTGATGTGGTCTTCCAGACATACATTCACCAGACATTCCACGCTGGCTGAGACATTAAGGGAAGATGCCAATGTAGGAAGAGTAATCCTACAGTCCCTCTTCCAAAGAGACTCTGAACCCTGCCACCTTGGATTTACAGCTTGGGAGTCACCTATTGCGAGATGGATATATGCAAGAACTCAAAAAAGAAAAAAAAAATTACTCACCATCTCATAACTGTTCTTCTTTGAGATGTGTTGCATATGTCCATTACGCAACCCACCCGCCTCTCCTAGTGGATCGTAGTCTACGATTAGTTTCCAGTGCGAAAGAACTGAAAGAGTTCAGGGCAGTTCTGCTCTTTATACCCTCTCCTCCGAACATGAGGAGCTGAGGTATGGGCAGGACCGCCTCTACGGGTACTGCTAAGGAAAATTCTCCAGTATTGGGCGCACAGGATATGCGCACACCTTGTAGTGTAAT